AAAAAAAAAAAAAAAAAAAAGAAGAAAGAAAAAAGAAAACTAGAATGCCTAGAATGCTGTGATGCTCTATAGCAGTTGATGAAGAGGATATGCATCTGACATCATCCCAAGGAGATTTAAAAATATATATGTGTACTTCCCAACTCTACTCATCCTAAAGATTTACTTTTAATATATAGTTTTTTGCTTTTTGAGATGGAGTCTCACTCTGTCACCCTTGCTGGAGTGCAGTGGCATGATCTTGGCTCACTGCAACCTCCCCCTCCCAGGTTCAAGCAATTCTTGTTCCTCAGCCTCCCAAGTAGCTGGGGTTACAGGCATATGCCACCATGCCCGGCTGATTTTTGTATTTTTAATAGGGATGGGGTTTTACCATGTTGGCCAGGCTGGTCTCAGACTCCTGACTTCAAGGGATCCTCTTGCCTTGGCCTCCCAAAATTCTAGGATCACAGGTGTAAGCCACGATGCCCTGCCAGTTTCAGTAGATAGTTTTGTACATGCTTTCTTATATGTTTTCCCAAACAAAGACACAAGGTCAGTGTAATTTAGAAAAATTTTAAAGTGGCCAGGCGCAGTGGCTCACGCCTGTAATCCTACAACTTTGGGAGGCCGAGGTGGGTGGATCACCTGAGGTCAGGAGTTCAAGACCAGCCTGGCCATCATTGGTGAAACCCCATCTTTAAAAAATAAAAAAGAAAGAAAATTTTTAAAGTTAAAAAAAGGAAAGATAAATACCAGTTTTATTAACAGCAGACTCAACATTGTGGTGGTTTTTTGTTCTTTAGTTTTATTTTTATCTTTTTTTCTTTATCATTTTTCATGGATGAATTATATTTTATGTATAATTTTCTGTTATTTCTAAGAAGCATTTTACCCTGTCATTAACTCCTTAAACATTATTTTAAAAGTTGTGTAATCTTCTTTTGTCCTGTACATTAATTGCTTAGTATCAATTGAAGCGTAGCCACTACCATCATCATCATTATCCTTACTTTACCAAGTGGGCAGACAGGCTCAGGGAGTTTATATGACTTGCTCAAGATAATATATCCCACAAAGTGATCTTCAGAGCACAGACATTCAGACTGTAGAGCTTTTGCTCTTTCATGTCACCGCAATATGTATATTAAACTTTTCAATTATTTGTTTATTCAGCAAACATTTATTTAGTATGCATGTATTAGAGATACATATATACAAAGAAGGATAAAATTAGTTATAGCTAATATTTATTGAACCCTTACTGGTCCCAAGCATTATTTTATGTGCTTTACTTGTATTAGCTTAAGAGTCACGACGACTCTATTAGGTCCATTTTTCAGATAAGGACGTTGAGACACAGGTTAGGTAACAGGCAGTAAGTGTAAGTGATAGTGCTGGGATTGGAATCCAGCGAAACTGGTTCACAGTCCACTCCTCGAAGCTCGGAAAGGAAAGTAAATTAATAAGAGGAGTTTTTCATGTGCATACCTATGAAACATTTATTTGTGAAAGGTTCTTTCTTTATGAAAGCTGTGCTGCTTTCTAAATTACATGGCTGAAAGCAGTCAAGTTTATTCAGTATCATTTTGTTTTATATTAAAAATGAGAATATAGTTCTATTTTATAGTTGTCTCTAATTGCAAAACTATTTTGTATGCTTAAATGATGTCATTAAAAAAAAGGTTCTAGGCCGATTGTGGTGGCTCATGCCTGTAATTCCACCATTTTGGGAGGCCAAGATGGATGGATTGCTTGAGACCAGGAGTTTGAGACCAGCCTGGGCAACATGGCAAAACTCCATCTCTACTAAAACTAAAAAAATTAGTTGGGCACAGTGGCACACACCTACAATTCCAGCTGCTCAGGAGGCTGGTATGGGAGGATCGTTTGAATGTGGGAGGCAGAGGTTACAGCGACCTGAGATTGCATCAGTGCACTCCAGCCTGGGCACAATGTGAGACTCTCAAGGGAAAAAAATATATATATATGTTGAAGTAATTTTTTGTGATTTTGTTTTTCATTAATATAGTTTTGTTGATCCTTGAGATTAAATTGAGTTATAATGAGCTTGTAGTTTGCTGAGTTTTTAAATGAATAAACATGGTTTTGTTTAAAAATTATCGCTCGACAGTGTTTACAAAGGACATTTGAAAAAAAAATTAGTAAAAATCAAAAAAGTCTAAATACCTCCTACCCCTGCTTGTTACAGAAAGCAGGTCCTTAAAAATTAAAATGACACCTGGGTGCAGTGGCTCACACCTGTAATCCCAGCACTTTGGGAGGCCAAGGCGGGAGGGTTACGAGGTCAAGAAATCAAGACCATCCTGGCCAAAATAGTGAAACCCCGCCTCTACTAAAATATAAAAATTAGCTGGGCATGGTGGCGCACGTCTGTAGTCCCAGCCAGCCACTGGGAGGCTGAGGCAGGAGAATTGCTTGAACTCGGGAGGCAGAGGTTGCAGTGAGCCGAGATTGTGCCACTGCACTTCAGCCTGGTGCCTAGTGACGCAACAAGACTGTCTTAAAATAAAATAAAATGACAGGCCGGGTGCATTGGCTCACACCTGTAATCCCAGCACTTTGGGAGTCCAAGGCAGGAGGATCACGAGGTCAGGAGATCAAGCCTATCCTGGCCAACATGGTGAAACCCCATCTCTACTAAAAATAAAAAGTTTAGCCAGGCGTGATGGTGCACAGCTGTAATCCCAGCTACTCGGGAGGCTGAGGCACAAGACTCTTTAACCCAGGAGGTGGAGGTCGAAGTGAGCCAAGATCATGCCGCTGCACTTCCACCTGGGTGACAGTGAGACGGTCTCAGAAAACAAGAAAAGAAAGTGCTAAACTAATTCATGGCACCACATTATGGTCACTGCTGTTCAAATAAAAGTTATCTAGACTGTAGGTTTGGTTTTCTAATGAAAATAGAATTCTGAGGTTAAATCCAATTATCTTGGTTTGTCTCTTTGCATGGTACTGTTGCAATGGGATTTTGTTGCATCTGATATTTCTTGAAATTTGTGCCTAACTAGAGGACTTATATTTGCAAAGAACCTAAACTTTGACATACAGCCAGGACTGGTGATAAAAATGAACAGTGATTATATTGGCTCTTTTATTGTAATGAATTTATAATAAAAATGCAGCATAGTTTATAGTTACAATATACTAAGCCTTAATACCAGTTTTGCTTAGGTGAGTACTTGGCATTCATATTTTTAAAGCAGCATTTCCTAAAGTGTGTTCCTTATAGTATTACTTTAATGGGATATTTACTGATAATGGCTAACATTTGAAAAAGGAGGTTGTGTTGCCAAATAAATCTGAAAAACATTGACTTAAAAGTTTTCCTTTCTTAAGGGCCTCTTTAGGCCTGGTAAAATTAATATTTTTTTCTCTAAATTGCTTGACCATGGAACTGTTTTGCAGGGCACATCCTAGGATTGGTGTTATACAAAGCAATTTTTTCTTTAGCTTATAGTAGTTTGAATATGGCAAGAAATTTTTTTTTTTTTTTTTAAATGAAGTCTTGCTCTTGTTGCCTAGACTGGAGTGCAACGGCACAAACTCAGCTCACTGCAACCCCTGTGTCCCGGGTTAAAGCAATTCTCCTGCCTCAGCCTCCCCAGTAGCTGTGATTACTCGGGAAGCCTATAGCAGGAAAGTTTACTCATACATGTCAAAAATATCTAGAGTAGGCTGGGTGAGGTAGCTCACACCTGTAATCCCAGCACTTTGGGAGGCCAAGGCGGGTGGATACCTGAGGTCTGGAGTTTGAGACCAGCCTGGACAACATGTTGAAACCCCTTCTCTACTAAAAATACAAAAAATTAGCTGGGTGTGGTGGCATGCACCTGTAATCCCAGCTACTCGTGAGGCTGAAGCAGGAGAATCATTTGAACTCAGGAGGAGGAGGTTCAGTGAGCCAAGATCACGCCATTGCACTCCAGTGTGGGCACCAAGAGCAAAACTCCGTCTCAAAAAAAAAAAAAAATCAGGAGTGAATCCAGATGCATTAAAATAATAGTTTTTATCACAGAGATTCAAGTTGTTGATTAAGCATTATCTTTTTTCTCTTAATTTTTAGGTACGAAAAAAGGACCAGATCAATATTGAAACAAAGAATAAAACTGTTCGTTTTATTGGAGAACTAACTAAATTTAAGATGTTCACCAAAAATGACACACTACATTGTTTAAAGGTCAGTGCTGAATTATTTGATTGTTTTTAATTGAAAACAATATTAAGTTTTAGTTATAAGTGGTGGATAATGTTAAATAATTTAATATTTACTTAATCCAAAAGAAGACCAAGAAAGGAAGAAAAAGTAACATTAAACAGATGTGCAAAATACAAAACTCTCAGATCTTAGATACTCATGCAGTTCTACCAGTAATTTCATGAAACCTAACAGGACAAAATACATCAAGTAAAAGCCTTAAAAATATAAAACTTGGGCTGGGCCTGGTGGCTCATGCCTGTAATCCCAGCACTTTGGGAGGCTGAGGCGGGTGGATCAAGAGGTCAGGAGTTCGAGACCAGCTTGACCAACATGGTGAAACCCTGTCTCTAGTGAAAATACAAAAATTAGCCAGGCATAGTGGTATGCACCTGTAATCCCAGCTACTCAGGAGGCTGAGGCAGGAGAATTGCTTGAATCTGAGAGGCGGAGGTTGCAGTGAGCTGAGATCACCCGACTGCACTCCAATGTGGGTGACAGAGCAAGAGTCCATCTTAGTAAATAAGTAAATAAACAAATAAATAAATAAAACGATTAAAATAGCTGCTAGGAGCTGTCTACCACAGAGCTACACTTAAATATGAAAATGAGAAAAGTTAAATAAGAAGATGGGGAAAATATACTATGCAAATGCTAATAAAAAGAAAGCGGCCAGGCCTGGTGGCTCACGCCTGTAATTCCAGCACTTTGGGGGGCCGAGGCAGGCAGATCACAAGGTCAGGAGAAAAATACGAAGGAAGAATATTCGTTTTTTTAAACAGAAATTTCTTTCCTAGGAATTCATTTTAAGGAAATAATCATAAATATGTGCACAGATTTCTCTACAATGATGTGTGTCGCACCATTTTTATAATACACATTGAGCATTCCTAATCTGAAATGCTCCAAAATTCAAAACTTTTTGAGTACTGTTACAATGACACGTGGTAAACACCACACCTGACCTCAGGTGACAAATCACAGTCAAAACTTTATTTCATGTAAAAGATATAAAGTATTATATAAAATTACCTTCAAGCTATGTTTATAAGGTTATATGAGACATAAATCAATTTTGTATTTAGATTTGGGTCCCATCCTTAGGCTGTCTCATATATATGCAAATACTGCATTCCAAAATCTGAAAAAGTTTGATATCAGAAACATTTCTGATCCCAGGCATTTCAGATAAGGGATACTTAACCTGTAGCAAGAAATAGGAGACAATTTGGATGATAAATAAGAATCAAGTAAGTTTTAATCTAGTTCATATTATGTAGTACTACGTACTTTGTAAATCGTCCATAGAAGGACAAAAAAGGACATGAAAAAGTATTCCTTGTAAGCAAAAAAAAAACAAGGTATTAAATGATACAATATAAACCAAGTTATTAAATGTCTCAGTCTGTATTAGTTTAGAAAATAGGCATAAGTGAGAATTTTGGGAAATATATAGTCCAAAACAAAAGGCATTGAGAAAATGTCTGCTGTGTATGTGGCGTGTGTTTAAATACATAACATCTAATAATAAATAGAAAGGGCTTTGACATTCATTTCCATATATCTTTCTGTGAAAGACATTAAATATATTGAAATTTTTCAATAAAAATTAATGGCAGAATGCATAACATGCCCAGCAGTGAACCTGGATAGACCCCTGTTTTTTACATTGACGTTTTAAAAGTTGTTACGCACATCAGATGTATGATAATTTCTTCCTCTACTAGGATTGAAGGGTTGCCTTTGTAGTTTTCATCATTCTTCCTGTTGCAGATGCTTCTGTCAGACTTCTCTCATCACCATATTGAAATGGCATGCACCCTGCTAGAGACGTGTGGGCGGTTTCTTTTCAGATCTCCAGAATCTCACCTGAGGACCAGTGTGCTTTTGGTAAGGGCTTGAGCATCCTGGTAAGAGCCAGAGGTTCTTGGTTTACCTGTGCTTCAGAAGTTAAAAATACTGACCAGTGCTGGTTATCTTATTCAATCATTTGAATACAAACATTTCTACCCAAACTGGAACATCCCATACCTATGAGTTGCCATCTCTGGAGAGCTGTAGAACTTAGAGGGTGTGATCATTAAATCCCTAGTTCTGTTAAACATGGAAGTGTTTTCTTGTCTGTTTGGAAGACTGAATATTTAACAGGCATTCACTGGTTACAGTACAGAGATGTGTCAGTATAGGAGCTTAGCTACAGTCAGTGCACTGTAGAAATTCTAGGAGACAGGAGAAACAGTTAATGAAACTTGGTATACCCACAGTTGAACTTATAAATAGTAAAACTTTCTCCTAGCATATGATGATTTACACGGATAGAAAAGCAGTCCATAGGAAAGAGTGAATGTGTTTTTAAAAATTCATTCATTTACTCTTGCATTGTTAAATATGAATTGCATCTGTTAGGCGCTGTTTTAGGTGCTACATATATGACGGTGGGAAAAAAAAGCTCCCATACACACAGAACTTGAAATCTACCACCACCCAGCCCCCCAGTCCACAACACTGCTTGGGCTCGTCAGTGATTTCCCTCTGCATGCTTAAACCCAGCCTTCTCACCTTGGTGCACAGCGCTCTCTATTACCCGGCCCCTCCCTCCTGTTCCTTTTCTGCTGCTCCCTGCTGGGAACACACTGGCCTGTTCTGTCCACATCTGGCTTGCTTTCTTCTCGGGCCTCTGCATGTGTGCTCTTCCTGCGGTTCTTCAGTACATGTCATCCTTCAGATCCTAGTTTAAACGTCACTTTCTCAGAAAAGCCTTCCCTAACCCACCTGAACTAAAGTGGGTTCCCTGTTGTTTAGCGTCTCATACATACTGTTCATACTACAGTTGCAGTTATTATTTAAAAGAATAGTAGTTGATTTATTTGTTTACTTTATCTTCTGACTCCAGACTATTAAGCTTCTTGAAAGTAGGAATTATGTCTGTCTGTTCAGTGATGAGTTTCCTGCACCTGCTGTAGTACATAACACTAATAAGTACCTAAGTAAATTATTTTTAAAAATTTTTTGAGACAGGGTCTGCTGTTGCCCAGGCTGGACTGCAGTGGTGTGATTATAGCTTACTGTAGCCTCCAGCTCCTGGGCTCAAGTGTTTCTTCCACCTCAGCTCCCGAGTAACTGGGACTATGGGTGCACACCACCATGCCTGGCTAATTTTTTTATTTTGTAGAGACAGGGTCTCACTGTGTTGCCAGGACTGTTCTCGAACCCCTGGCCTCAAGCAGTCCTCTTGTCTTGGCCTCCCAAAGTGTTGGGATTACAGGCATCAGCCACTGGCTACTTTCTTTCTGTTTTATTTTTT